TGGATAGTAAGATTGAAACAATTGACCTAATGTACACCACAGACATTAGTACATGAATACTGTCTATGTACATATTGAGTTAGAAAATGCACTTACCTGTAGAACTGAGTACAATGTTCGAAGAAGGTGGACTGATCAAATTGATATTCGGTAATCGTTAGGTAAACACGTGATTCCAATGTTGGCCTACATCGAAGAGCAAAGTAAACAACAGTTCAAAAGCCACAATTATATAAAATCAATATATTAACCAATAATAGGTGCGAATACGAGAACAACATCGATTATGAATACTATGTTTGTTGAAACGGTTGAATGTTCGGTGCAGCCTCATCCGTATTACTGTCACGTGGTTTCTGTCTCTTCCCTTTGTTTAAATTTGAAGATGCCTGATGTACATTGAAGTGAATTAAAATTTGGTTTCAGACTCCATTAGAATGAAAAAGAACAGAGGCAAAACACACCTTCGATTTCTTTGAAGTCGGCTCTAATGAGCTTTTTTTTCGAAGTTTCCTTGGCGCTCCTTTTCTTTTCAACGATTTTGGATCTAGTATGCTCACACTGGCACGGTTAAGTGAATCATTACACTGAGATCCTAACTGAATATTATGCCATGACATAAAATTACTTCAACTACTCGACTTGTTTAACGTTAGATCGTTAGCTTTGTCTTTTATCCATTCCATTATCACATGTGTCCACCCTTCATCATCTGCAGCAAGGTCTGCACCTCCGCAAAAGCCTGACACGTATCATTGTATCTTAGTTGCTCTGGAGTACTGATCAAACCATCGTAGTTCACTACTACCCTCATGTGTACTCTACTTACATCTCTCCTCCATCTCTACATTATATATCTCTCCGGAAGTAATATGACATCATTGCGGATCAAAACTATGATCACATGCCTGTAAATCATGCCCTGAAACATAAACAAGTGGCAACTGCAAGTAATCTCACATCCATCTCTCCAAAATAAAATGAAAAATGTTTTTTTTTTCTTCCGGTACTCATAATATATAACATCCTCTCGTACCTCATATGCAACCCAGAACATCTCTCAGAAATAGATATGATGTCGCAGTAAACTTTCCCGTGAATTCATTTTGAACTTCCTTGAATTTGGACATGGTGTAAATTGATTGAAACAAGTTCTCGATCTCATAATTTGGAGCACTGAGTAACGTTTGCACGAATGACTTGAAATCAGCTTGAAATTCCTTCTCTACTTTATTTCGCGGAGCTTTTTTGTACTATTCCACAAACTGCTTCAACGAGATTTTCAAATGTACATACCCGTCAAAGAAGGCATGCATATTTTCACTTTGCTGCGTTGTTGACATCCTCGCCCAAAAAGTGGTCTTCAAAAAGCATGGCACCCACCAACCTCTATTCTCATACAGACCCGACAACCAATCATTGTCATGCAACTAAAACTCGTCGATCATCAACCACGAAAATTTTTCTCAACTTCTACATCATCTCTACTATGTAATGTAATCCAAAAATCCAATAATCACCAGTTCGAATCCCCTCACAACCACTGAAATAAGTACCCGTCAGTAAACTTCAGGGCCCCATGGGATTAGTCGAGGTGGCGTAAGCTAGGGATATCAATAAGTCGAGTCGGCTCTTCATGGCCCCATGGGATTAGTCGGGGTATGCATAAACTAGAGATATCAGTGGCCCGTACACGCATGAGTTCGGCTTGCGCTCGTGGTGAGCAGAGCTTGAGCTTGGCTCGTTCATTTTGGGTGAGCTTAGCTCGGGAAGCTTCTCCCTTTTTTTGTTTTTTTTATATAGAAAAAATAGATGAACATAAATGCATTTTTAAAAAAATAATTTAATGAAGACAATTTTTTTTTATTACTATCATATAGTAATATTTTCTATAAAGTATTAAATATTTATGTAATGAAGACAAATTTTTTTTTAAATACATTTACAAAAAAAATACATTTTTTCCAATTTCTTTTTAAAATAGATAAAATATAAACTCTCCTCCTTTATCCTGATTTGGGACCAGCTACATCAATTTTAAGTAGGCGGAGTTAAAAATTGTACATGAACAACTTGTTGTAACGTGTACAATTTTTTAAAGAAAATTAAATATAACGATTAAGAAATAAGAAATTTTGATTAATATAATTAAATCAAATACCACTTACGTGATGACGTGCAATTTCGGTGTATTTATCTTATAGTCGAAAATGAGTGTCATGTTAATCCTTCACGCACATTAACGCTTCCAAAATATTTTCTTTCATCCGGCTTCTGACATCTGTCAAAACCCTTTTACCTGCACTAAAAGCAAACTCTAAAACAACAATGCTAATCGAAGGTGTCAGCAAATCTTTCGCAATTGCAGAAACAATTGGTCAACGTCTTTCATACTTTCGCTAGAATTCAAATACTTTTTCTGAACTTTTTTTAATTGTTTTGTTTGTTGGTATATTGTGATTGAAGTAATCAATTAATTCGACAGGCATCGCATTTTGAGTTGCGACTGATGTTTGATGAGATGCAAATGTACACGACATGGCACCAGATGAACACATTGCAATTACATCATATCTATATGTATTAATGCCTTGAAATAAATTCATTATTTCGATATCACCTTCTTCAATTTCTGTCGAAGAAGTAGGTGCAAAGGATACCCGACTAACATTCGCACTCATTCGTTCTGCATATAATTCATACATTCTATATAATGTTTACTCTAAATTCCTACAGGTGATAGATGTATCAAACATTAATGCTTTGTTGATTTAATCAATTACGTATTTAATTCCCGATAAATTATATTAGGGGCCATTACGCATGCTAAAGGAAATAACATAGGCAGATCTTCCCAATACTTTCTTAACTTTAATTCTATAGCAATTATAATTTCACTAAAATTAGGATCATTTTTATATTTTTGAAATGTTCTTACAATTATATAAAGACGTTCAAACACCATACAACTTGTGGGATAATAAATGCCCAATAAAATCTTTGTGATCTCATAAAAAGATGACAAAAATATTTTAATTTTCAAAGCTAAAACACAATTGGATTCATTTAACATAGCAACGTCATCACTTTTAACGTGTTTATTGTTATAAAAGTCAGTTATTAAATGTTCGAAACATTCACATGACTTTAATAGCAAGTAAGTAGAGTTCCATTTATAGCCTACGTCGCTAACAAATGTTTTAGCAATCATCACCCCTAATTTGATACAAAAATCTTCAAAAGCTTGTTTTCTACTAGGGGAGATCGTAATATATACTAGTGCATTCCTAATCTTTTGAAGCCCATCTTTTATATATTTTAAGTCATCTTGCAGAATTAAATTCAAAATATGGCACACACAACGAATATAAAACAAATACCCAACGGAATCAGGTTGAAGTACCCTATACAACCAATCGATGACTACCTTATTAACACTAGTATTATCGAAAGTAAAAGGCTAAATTTTAGTCTCGCAATTATATACTCTAACAATACTGATAATAGCATTATATATATTATTAATATTGTGAGAAAATTCAATAATTCTAAAAGTAATAATTTTTGTATGCATGCACCAAAGTGGGTATATATATTGTGCGATTGCAACTATATAAACTCTTTTATTAATTCCTTCCTATATATCTGAAGTTAAAGATATAAAACCCTCATATTGTTGCAAATTCATAATTAATTATTGTTTTGAATCATTGAAATATTATATTATATCAACACGAAAAGTGTTTCGACTTACCTCAACATACTTTGGTTGCAGATATTCTTTCAAGTAAGAGACGAAGTATTGGTTGTCGGCAATAGTCAGAGGCAACTTAGTAGCGACAACAAATTTCACCATTTCGATTCGAGCTTTCTCCTCCGAATACATCCACGTGGATAGGGGTGAAATTGTAGAAGTGGCTCCTGAACTGTGAAATTGTAATTGTGTTTGACCAGTTGGAAGAAGTTCATGTATGGCCGTACATACTTTGTAGTGGCGGTTGAGATGGGGTACTAATTCTTCTTTGTCATGCCAATCTTTGTTGGCATTATGCTTAGATTATGCGAGGCCATCGACGACTTTTTCGGTTGAAATCAACTTAAAGTGATCCCAACATTTTACTTATTTTTCTCCTTTTTCTTTCCTCTCGCATCTGGGATGTTTAATTTGGGCTCTTCGTCATCATGCTTCGTTTCGGGAATGTTAATATTATCCAAATCAATTGCATTATGGCTTTCATGACCGTGAATGTAAACATCTTCATGTATGGGTACGTCATTTAGACCAACAAATTCATTCCAACAGCGTCTTAGACGATTCGCCATGTAGCCCACATCCCTTATCGAACAATTTCTAAACAAATGAGCATTGATCTATTGTTTGATTGTTTGTGATGAAATCCAAATATAATAACTAGTAAATAAATGTAGTGAGAAACAAGAATTGGACGAAATTTCAATAAATGCAGTGAGAAATGAGAATTTGATTAATTGAAATTGAAAATGAATAAATTGTAAAAAAAAAAAAAAGAGCCAATATTGTATATTTTGCACAAGAGAGTTGAAACTTGATAGATAGAAAGTTGAGAAATAAAAATTGAGCTTTGAGATGAAAAAAATTGGGATTAATGAGGGCTATTTATAGAAGTGGGGGGAAAAATTAAAAATTCAGTGACCAAAATGGTCACTTACCTCGTGGCTCGTTAAGCGACGAACCTGGCTTGTGGCTCGTGGCCCACGAGCTCGCACACGAGCGGCTCGCCTTCTGTACAAGTCGAGGCTCGTATTTTTACGAAGTCGAGCCGTCCACGAGCCCCGTTTTAACTAGCCAAGAGGGCGAGCCGACGAGCTGCTCGGCTCAATTGTCATCCCTAGCGTAAGTTGGCTCGGACATTCATAGTCATCAAAAAAAAAATTGTAATGTAACCCAAAATGATATTTAAAAAAGAAGAATAAGAAAGAAGTAGAAGTGTTTAAAAAATAAAAAATAATTAAATAAATAAATTTATTCCCTCTCCTTTTATAAGTCATATCCACGTGTCAGTACTGCCTTCCTTTCTTCCTAGTACGCCAGTCGAGTCGCTTGATCTGGTTTACCCTCCTCTCTAATTCGCGCACGAATTCCGACATTTATTGGGTATGTGATTGATTTTTTTCTAACCCTATAATTCTGTTTGTTTCTCTCGGGTTTTTCATGCTTGAGATTTTTTATTTTATTTTTTGTGATCAAATTGCCCTGATGAGGATTAATCCGTGTTAATTTCTTTCTTGCTACACTTGAATCGTATGTTTCCTTGAAGAATCAATCTGCGAAATTAGAACGCAATTCATTGTTCGGTTAATAGCAATATCACAGGCTTAATTTAGGGAAGGTTTTTTTTTTTTTTTTGGCTAAATATTTCTGCTTTCTTTGCTACCAAAGCAAGAAAGCCATGAAGCTGTGTCATAGTTTAAGTGTGAAGAAATTTATATTTTCTTTAATCAAATTTTTAACTGGAAGGGTCTTTCTGAATTAATAATGGTTTTATAAATAATTGTGCAACACATTTTGAATCAAAATAACAAAGCATCATAATATGAAACCATGCATAGACTCTTTCATAAATTTCCATTTTTGATGGAATTTTTCGCGGTATTCTCAGGGTTTGAGAGTTTTACATTAAGGCATTACCATCCTCTTAAATTGCAAGTCGTAGAATATTTAAGTGCATTTACTTGAATGTATTATTTAGGCATGGCTATTTTTTATTTATGGTCTTGGTATATTGAGTGTTTTCCCTTTTCGGAAGTTACAGTGTTGTCAGATCACAATTTATAATTTTCTTTAAGGTATCTAGTATGTGGTTTGACTTGGAATTAATCCATCAACTGTAGATCCTCATGGTTGATTAAATTTTCTTGGCAGATCTCTGCATTTGTTTGATTTTGTGTTTTCATGTATTCATATCCATATAAGCTATGCAGGGTGGTAGATGTTGCCAAAAGGAAATTTGGAACAAGTGAGAGGGATCTAGGGAAGAAGTGCTAATTCCTTAACATGAATTAGATATTGACTTAATGATTATTAGTTGTTATGATTTCTTTTTCATACTTGCACCCTATTTTGCTAGGCTATTGGGTGCCAAACCTACATGTGCTAGTATTGATTGTCGAATTATGAAAACTCTTAGTTTTTCTGATTATCTGAGTATACTATGCAGCACGTGTTTGAGTAATCATCATCCTCGAGTAACAGTGTCAATAATTTTGTATGCACCTTAGAAAGTTCTCAAATCATAACTTCAGGATTTAGGTTGTATTATGTTTACAGCATAGAAGGCATATTTGGATCTCAAGGCCTGCAATTGGTCAATTTCCTCTAGATTTATTATTTTCTGGTCTGAGAAGTATCTAGAACTAAATTAGAGGTTAGAACAAGCATGATCTGTAATTTTAGAATGGAAGTTGTCACCTTGCAATGGTAAAATTATTTTTATGCCCTTTTTTTTTTTTTGTTGGCAGAAACTAATTAAGTCCTGGGGAATGGAGCTTAGTGATATAGAAGATTCATTTGAGAGAGTTGCAAAAAAGCAAAAGTTGTTGTCTTCTAAATCAAAAGAGATAATCGACCAAGTGAGCGGTAAAATTGAACAGGCATTGGCGAGTATGCGATCAGATCATGACCCTACCATTTCTGTTGATCAGAAACAGATTCTCACTGAACTCAAAACCAAGCTTGCAGCGATTGACCCAATCAGTCCATCAGAGGGATCACAGAGAGAGCTGAATTTAAGTCTCGGCAAGCATGTAAAAGTCCTTGAGCAAATATTGAATCCTGATATATCTAAGGCATATAGAAATGTTGATTTTGATACTCGTATCATAAACCAGATCATTATCAACCACTTTTGCCGTGAAAGCAAATTCGATCTCGTAGACTGCTTGATAAACGAGGCCAGTGAACCAGATGCCATTTTCCTAAGAGTGCAATTTCAAGAGATGCATCAAATACTTGAGGCTATGAAATCCAGGAATCTTGAACCCGCCTTATCTTGGGTTTTAACAAACCGTGCAAGACTAGAGGAGTTCGGTTCAAATATTGAGCTAAAACTTCACAAGCTGCGGTTTGTAGAGATTTTGCAGAATGGACCCCGAGAAGATGCCATCAGCTATGCCAAATCTTGCCTATCTCCTTTAGCTTCTCGTCATATGAATGAGATTCAGAAGCTTATGGGTAGCATATTGTGGGCAGGGAAACTTGATGGGTCCCCTTATTCTGATCTGATCGATCCAACACGTTGGGAAAAGTTGTCCAAGGAGCTTTTTCAGCAGTTCTGTACTTTCATGGGGCAATCCTCTCGGAACCCTCTCTATGTGGTGGTAGCTGCAGGGGTTGAGGGATTGCCAACTCTGTTAAAATTAGGGAATGTCATGGCTGCAAAGTCAGATGAGTGGCTTGCAATGAAACAATTACCTGTGCCGATGGAGTTGGATAAGGAATTTCAGTTCCATTCCATTTTTGTTTGTCCGGTTAGCAGGGATCAAGGTAGCGAAGACAATCCACCAATGTTTTTGCCATGTGGGCACGTTCTTTGCAAGCAGTCGATGAATAAACTTTCAAAGAGCCATAATCGTTCCTTCAAATGTCCATACTGTCCTGTATATACTTTGGTTGCACAGTGCAAGCAACTGTACTTCTGACATGGTACATGAAGTTCATTCGATTCCACTCTTCATTAGTAAGAGAGATTTTTTATGGCTCAGTATTAGCCCATTCGTACGTGTTGGCTTCTGTAATTGCCGTTATCCAAACATAGCTTTCATTTGTTTAGTTACATAATGATGTTTCTTAAGGTTTTCTGTGTGTTCTTGATTGCCCAGCGAAGTGATGGAAGTAAAACAATTGGCTCTGTTGCATGTTTTGCTGCCTAACACCATCATACTGATTCCTCTGTTTTAGTGAAACTGAATGCCATTACAGATAAGTGATGCTTTGTGGTTTCTTGATTGCTTGTTAGGTTGGTTCTTCTTCTTGTGATTACATACATACGCTGCATAATAGTATAGATCTATGGTGTAAATATTTATGGGTTATGTTACAATTTTTATTTCTTGCACCACATTTTAATTAATAATTAAAATTCTTAATATTTGCTCATTATAGCACTTATGTCTCTAACAATGTTTTATGTCATTTTTATCTAAAATTTTTCATTACTTAACACATTTTGTATTTGATAAAAGTTTTTGGTTAACAAATCCGTTGAAATGATGTAAAACAGCTAATTTTTCATTATATTTAAAAAAAAAAAAAAGTGGGGAAAATATTTTTTTCTCTCATTTTAAAAGCATGAAAATAAAATATTTTGATATAAATTATGATCATACACAAGACTTATTAAGTAATAAAAGATTAAAGATAAGAATCCGATGAAAAAAGTTCAAGAAATAATTGCTACAAAATACAAAGATTGAGGTGCTTAATTATAATTAAAATGCAGTCTATGAAATAAAAATTGCAGTGCTAATATAATCACATAATTTTTATTTTCAATAAATTTAAAGTCGCTTATATATTAATTATTTTTACCATTTTATTCAATTCATTGTTACACAACTTCGACCAGGCCACATGGTATCCAATGCAACTTTCCTACTTGTACAATTAACATGGAAAAGTATTTCTCACCGAATGTAATATAATCTATCAGAAATCCTAAACTAGGAAGCATAAATCACTAATTTTGGGAAAAGCCCATCAATTTTCAAAAATTAGGGAAGAATTTGTTGGAAGCCGCCATTGAAGATGGATTTTCTTCTACCAAATGTTCATCAACCATTTCTTTAACAGATTTGGCAGACAATGGATGAAAATGGGCACTCCACTCTGCAACAAACCCTTTAACCAGAACCGATTTTTCCTCTTCGTTCATTTTTTCCCATTTCATCTTCAAATCCTCCGATTTCAATCCCATGAAATTGCACAATTCCGTGAACAATAATTCCCTGCTTTTCTTTAAGGCTTCTTCTCTTTGGATCAAGTGGGTGTTCAATTTACTCATTTCTAGATCGAGTTCTACTGCCAGCATTTCGTCGTTACCGATTTCTTCGTTGGTGCATGAGATTCTGTGGTCTTTATGTGGGTTTGAATGGAATTTGATGAAATAGGTGGCGGCAGCGGCAGAAGGGAAGGGGTGGGTGTGCCAATTTCTGGGCTGGGGGGGAAGCTTTGTGGTAAGGAGGTGAAATCTTACAGCCATTTTTGAAGTCGGATTGTATGAATTTTGAGGAAGGCTTTGAGAGCAGTTGTTGTTTCCGTCTTTCACACCGGAGCAAAAGCCTTCCAGGGATGAAATTATGCTTATAGGGTGGGCAGAAGTTATCGAAACTATTGAATCGAATTGAAATCAAATGAATCGGTCGACTCTACACAAATTCTAATCAATTTTGGATATTAAAATCGACAATTGGCCGATTTTAATAGTGTTCTCAATTTTACCCCCCGTTTTCCCCCCATTAAATACATTCCATTACATTCTATTTTTCTCTCTCATATTTGCAATGACACAATCTTCCATAAAATAATGTTACACGTAAATCGAAAATTTTCCTTCTTTTTTAATTTCTCATTTTTTCAAAAAAAAAATGTTATTCCTCCCATTTTCATTATCGGAAAATGGGGGTGAAACATGGGTTTAGTGTCAAGGACGCATTGAGAAAACTTTACTGTTTACTTGTAACGATTGCACCAATCATTGTACTTTTGTTATGAATTTCATCACAGTACATCAAACTAACATTCAAACAGAAAGATGCATTAAAATTTCTTAAATGGCGTGAGTTCCTTTAATATTTCAAAGTTAAAATCTTTGGCCCCTTAAAGTAATAAAAATAAATAAAAGTGATATTGACACGTGTTTGAAAGAACTACTTAAACTTGAAAAATACAAATCATTACTATCAATATAAATCATTTTATTGAATAGATTGTGGAAATTTTAAATATTAAACAATTATAACTAATAAAAATTAACTTGTAACTTTGAAAGGATTACCATGCTCGAAATAAGTCACTCTTTTTTTCTTGATATTTATAACGGTATATTAATCTAGTGCCTAGGCGAAAGATCCTGACCAAATAAATCATTTAATAAATTAAAGAAAACAATTACGGAGAAAATGTTGGGCCACTGGGCATCCACACAGCGCTTCAAAATTATACTAATATTTTAGCAACAAAACTAACAATTCAAAGTGTAGTAATGTAACGATTCAATGTACCAAAAGAGTAATGTTCGTCCTCGAATGACATAAGATTAGGCCGAAAGAGGTCATCAACAATTCTCGATGAGGAGCACACACAACGTTTTATAAACTTTATAATAATACAAATCAATTTTTCACACCAGATTTTCACAAGGTTGAGACCCTAGATCTCTCACTTGAAATGAACCTTTAATTTCTTAATTCCCTTTCAGCATGTCGTAAAATTGCATAGGTTTCTTTTTAGGTGTCCTGCAGAGTTCCTGAAATGAGGACAAATTCTCTATTAGAATTGCATCTGATGCGATTATTGTGACATTTAGCCACTGCAGCATAGGTAACTAATTCATTGTTGATTGAATCCATTATCCTTTTCATTATGTGGGTGAAGGAGTACATACCTCTACGGCAGCAGCCAAACGCAGAATAGAAGCTTCACACCATGGACGGCCTATGATTTGTAAGCCGATTGGAAGCCCTTGCTTATCATATCCAACCTGATCATTCCACATTTTCGATCACATGAAGGAAAATCTCGTAACCAGTAAAAGGAACTATTAATCTTGAAGTCGGGCTACATGTTTGTTCAGATAATTGGAGCTGTAGTTGACAGCATACTAGGTGCAAATCAACCAACATATAAAATGGATAGATTAGATGTATTTATATACAATAGAAAGCAGATACTGCAGCAGACTCGTGACTAAATTAGGATCCCCTCGAGTTAAAGAGCGAATAAAAAAGCATGGTAATATTGATATTCTTGAATAAAATTGAGCACATTGACATTAAGATCTAAATCGAAGTTGTTATGCAGTAAAAATAGGAGCGATTTGGTCTTTGTCCACCACACTTTACTACAAATTTTTGAACTTTCTAAAAACTGTAAAAGGGAAGAGATGCATTTCACTTACCGGGACAGATATTGCAGGAAACCCAAGAAGATTCGCTGCTATAACAAATCGCATTAGATTTGCTGAAATAAAGAGCAAATTGATTAATAGACCTAGACAGATAATAGATGAATAATTCAATAGTTTTAAGGCAATTAGAGGGATGGAATTTGATCTTGGTATTTCTAAGTCAAAAGTTGGAAAACTTGATTAGTGAACCAAACATAGAAATTCTGTTTTATCTTTCTAGTTGAACTAGAATCTGTATCCACCTTCTAATAGCATAATCATAAAATGGATATTCTTAATTAGTCCATGCATGAATTACTCAGGGAAATCAATTAAGGTGGAATCAACTACTGGATCAGAGAAGTAAACCTCGCTTGGAGAAAAATTAATCAAGTGACCAACCTGAAACTTGCAAATCTGTCTCCCCAAATTTAAGGGCAGCGGGAGGTATTATAGGTGCTGTCATACTGAAGAAAGACGCAAGACTGAGAACAAGTTGAATAGAATTGCAGCAGAAAGAAAAAATGTAAAAAAAAAATAACATGTAATAATAATTATTATTGCATTCCTTCATAAACACCGGGAAGGACTGGTACACTGATATTTATAATATGAATGACAGTCAACACAAATTCAGCAGGCATTTCACCGTGAGAAATTTTGACATCTTGCATAAGCAAGTTGTGGAGGTCCAAATGACCATCAAGCAGACAAAATATCCATATGAAAGCTAAATATCAACTCTTGAACAATTATATAATTGTAAGAAATACAATTATATTTAAGATTGAAACACAAATGATAGTATGAACATTTCAATGTTGAGGATAAGGTAACATCCTTCCTACATGTCCTTCAAGGAAAGAAAAATGAAAAGGAAGAACAATTTGAAAATGTGTGCATCGATAACGAAAAAATTCAAGAAAATGGAAACCGTGCATATTCCAAAGTATGGCACTGGCTAGTTACATAGTATGGTACAAATTATTTGACATTATAAACAAGGCCATAATATACCAGCAATTAAGTTCAGCATACCCGGTGGTCGGAGTAACAATGACATCCACCTCCTTAAAAATCTCCATATGGTAGTGCATTATCCTTCTCCTGCAGCAAATCAGATGAAAGTAAATTATTAATGTAATCTAAAATCTTACTGTATAGTAGTGAGCTTACTATGTAGAAATTTATGTACTTATGACCAATGTTAATCAGAAAAGACAAGAACACATGTGAATGTATTCTTTCCCAGACTGTACCGTCATAAATGGACAGTTGATACACAAAACAGAAAATGATAAGAGAACATAATCCGGAAGGTAATAAGACAACTGAAAGTATATGCAATATGGTAAAGTCAATGGAAACAAAGCATCCCTGAGTCTTATATACTTCCGAAAAGAAATTCCATGAGACATTATTAGCAACACAATATGTTAACATTCAGGACAAAGGTCATTGATCTGGAGGGAAACTTAAAAGAAAGGAACCTAACCTGTATGTATTCACAAAAAGGTGAAGTTCTTAAAAGTGATCAAACTCTGTTTATTTTTAGCGCAATATGATAATTTAATTGACCAGTCAAGATCACTGAATTACGCTCAAATATGTTTGCATGTATGTATCATCCACTTTTAGATTACCATATTCCAATTGAGAGACTGCTAGAAGGCATGTAATCCATAAATAGATGAAATTTTGATTTACCTGAGGCATTGAGCAGCAACATAATCTGATCCTCTGAATGACCTAAACAGTGCCAGGTTTGTCCGAGTGTCATGTGTAAACTTAACCCGCTTTCTACAAAAGAATAAAGATCAATTCACATTATCAAATATATATTATCAAGATAAACCACTTTATCCACAATGAACATCCAGAAGACATACTTAAGTAGGGTTTTTATACTGATAAATCCAAAAGGTAAATTAACATACCCATCTTCAAAGTCGGGAGTCAATCCACATAGTGATTCAGAGCCAATTGAAACAATGTGAGCAATCCGCATCTCATTAAGCTCGGGTATAACAATCTCCACTGTCTTTTTGCAGCAAATGGGAAGGAAACAAAAGCAGGGCGATATATATTTATTTGCATAGATAATTATTTCCGTTCCAAAGTCAAAATGTATTATAAAATTTGAAATAAGAATTGTTTTAGGTGCAAAATGAATGGATAGAAAGAACTAGACTTACTTTGCATCCATATGTTTCTGATAAACGATTAAGAACATCCTCACACTTGTTAGATATATCAGTTGAGAAGACATCATTAAACCACTGCAGAGGGATATCATATACTAATCAATTCATATTCAAGTCTCACAAGGTAATACAATTTAAATAGAAGGCGAAGGTTATCACCTCTGTGTACTTCCCTAATTTTAATAGTCCCAGAGCATTTGAACTCTCGTGCGAAGCTAAATTAGGCAAGCAAGGGACAGACTGCGAAAAGATATAAAGGTCAGTAGACCATATTCTTAGGGCTTTCCTCAAGTGATCTAAGGTTCTTGACTAGTGAGTTCCGATAATATTGCTGTGTCGTGAGAAGCTACTTAAAGAACTTAAATTAGCTAAAATGGAATGTCGAGTACAAATTCAATACAGGATCTCAAAACTCCAGCAAAAATTTTTATTACCGGTTTCAAAGCAATTTTTTCAGCAGCAGATGATCCCAAAATTGTAGCATAACTGAAATGTGGACAATAGATAAGTTTAGAGTCTTAGCTTTCCAGTATATAAACATTAAGTTCAACAAAGTACTAATTTCAGATATTGAAGAAATAAAGATAGTTAAATTCATATTACCAGAAAAAGGCAGCAAAAGAACATAAAAGCTTGAAGATTAAATTTCATGAAGTATGAAAGAAATCCAGATTTAAAGTCCTGTGTTGTATCCTTCCATGTTTTACATAAAGTGCATCCACCAATGCCTCATTTGATAGAATCATCTAAATAAATAAAATAATCCAATGGTGAGCTCATTCATGATGAACTTTTGTTAAAAACCTAAAGCTTGCTGTTCAAAAAACTGGATGCTAGCCACAGTATAGATGAATGACTCGTGGACATTTATCATTTGCCAGTATGGTCCAGAGAACGCTTACATCCAGATGCTTAATAACTATTGTAAAAACGAGGCAGGAAAAGCATGTAGCTTTCAACTGCTGAAATGGAATGTGATTTCTCCAATCATACACAATGATGGGTCTCGAAAACGTTGGGATAGAAATCAAAACCAACTAAATAATAATTTAATGCAAGAAAAAGCTTCGGAGAGAACAACTCACAGGTAGGAATATATTCTGTTGG